CGTCGTTCTATATCCTTATCATATCTACCATCCCTGCTAAATAAACATCCCAAATATACAAACTCATCCACTTGCTCAGTCAACTCCCCTTCTATTCTTATTTCACATAAAGTTTTACTTTCTTCTCTTTCAAAAACCATCACTTTCGTCTTACTTGCGTTCACTTTCATACCCCTTTCTTTCAATGACCAATTCATTAAAGTAACCATCATTTGCAATTCGGCCGCCGACGATGCAAATATGACTTGATCATCGGCGTACAAAAGGCATTTGACGGTTGACTCACCCATTCTCAACCCACATTCTTCAACTTTCAAAGTTTGCAAACAACTGTCCATAAATAAGTTAAACAGCCACGGGGAAGCCGCACATCCCTGTCTGACACCTTTATGAATGCCAAACCAGTCAGAGTAGACCCCGTTGATCCTGACACAAGCACTAGAGTCCCTATAAAGAGATCTTAATGCCTGTATCAAGCCAGCGCTCAACCCAAATGTGTTCAGTGTTTGCCATAACACATTCCTGTCCACTCTGTCATAAGCCTTTTCCAAGTCCATGAACGCACAAAAAACTTTCTGGTTTTTAGCCAAAAACTTCTCCGCTATCATGCGCATGGAAAAGACTTGATCCGTACACCCCATCCCCTTTCTAAATCCAGCTTGCACATATATATATATATATATATATATATATATATATATATATATATATATATATATTAGTTTATAGATTTTAAAAATAAACCTTGGTAAAGAAATTTGAGTGATCGGTTTATCCTAGTCTTCGAAAGTTATGCACGCCTACGATGACGAAGGCGAGCACTGCAAGGAGCGAGACGTCTGATATTGCGATCACCTATTCACCTCCCAAACGTTTTTCCGAAGAAGTCTCGTCTCTCTTTATAGTATAAACCATTAAGGCGCAGGTTGAGCAAAATGTCGGGCTAGTCGTTATTTGTGCGGTTTTTAGGAGCTATCTACTTTTTATTTAAAAGATATATCAAGAAATAAAAAACACATTATATTTATACACAATCTTGATTCCATAAGAGTCATATCCAATTTTTTTTAAAGGAATCAATATTAATACAATCCCCTTACAACGAAATCACATAAATGTGAAATAATTATTGATAAAATGCATCTCCTCGTAAAGTAAGTATTATTTTATTTTGCGATTTACACCAATGGATAGGCAATTTATTAATAAACATTTCTATCATAAATAATTTTTTCAAAAGACCAAAATTTGATTTTATTAAGAAATTATTTTAAAAACTTGGCGTATTCACTGCCCACGGGCTTGCTGGAGTCAGTGAGTGCTAAGCTCTTGAAAGTGAAACCCGTGTCGTTTATCACGGCGTCAGCCAGCGCACATGCTCGCTGACGTCATCTTATCAATCGATAATATTATTATTACTTATTAGGTTATTTATAGGTAGTATTATTTGTTTGTTTTGGGTATAATTTTTCGTATTAGTTATACATATATTTGTTGTGGTTTTTACTGCGCGATGAAGCTTTTTGCGTGTATTTTCTTTAAAGTACATGCAAATTAAAAAATGAAGCACCATTAGCATGTAAGGTTCGAATCCATTATTAACATTTCGACAAATATTATAATTCACACTATAAAAGGCTAATTCAGGCTAATACAGTTAAAAATAATCCTAATATCCAACCACAATATCTTAGTAGGTATAGTATATAGTATTTCAACTTTAAAAATTCCTGCTATTTTAATTAGGGCACAATATATTCAAACATTTGTTTTAATCGATAGGTTATTTATGGACAAATGTAATGAACATTTATTTCAAATCAAATTATTTCAAGAACAATTTTAGAAACGACTATAAGCAAAAAAAGGCATTATGGCTCAAATTCCAGCCACCATACCGAATGTCGTCCTTTTGTGTACCTAATGTCAGCATAGCATAGGGTTATGCCTTTTGAGTTTTTATTAATTTTGAACCTGCATGTTACAAGCGTGGAATATGTATTAAGGCTGGCGACAACATTATTTTATTTTAACGTTTTACTACTTAACTTACTGTGTTTTAGTTTAAAGCTGTTCAATAAATTAAAGCAAATTATGATAAAATATTATCCTAGTATTCAAATCACCAATTTTAAAACACGAATTGATCATAACTCCCTTAGTTATAAAATAAGTTATGATCTAATTAATGGTATTTATTCCAGTTTATGGCAGCCCTGATTTATATTACGTGGCTGAAATTAGGTACTTTTTATTAGGTACGTCAAACCAAATAACAGTCGGGCGGCTGACATTATGCACTCCATATATTTCTTATATCTAATTACAGCCCCATTAATTTCCACTAAAAGAAAATAAATAACTTGTAAATTTAAACAAAAATAACTGCATTACTTCTGTCCGCGCCAAACGCTAATTTCAGAAACTAACACGAGAGGGCGCGCGGCTCGTTGCCATACCGGTTTTGACGTCGGCCGAGCGGTGAGTTGAGAACGCGTAAAGGCGAAAGAGTCGTCTGCCAGCTGTACTTGGGACAGCACGCTGTCATTTTTGTCGGGAACTCGGAATAATTAGGCGCGGTTCGTAAATGTACTGTCTAGGATTTGTGACGCGTATTCCTTGCTGTAGAGCTTCCCCGGGACTCATTGGGTTTGACTCGGAATCTGTATAGGTGCATTCGACAATATTATCTAGTGCGGCCTTTGATATTCTAGAAATAATTGTTGCTACGCGAAACGGTAGTGACCTTTGATCCGGACACTCCGTGTTCGTTTTGTGCATTAACCTTATGACAAACGAGAGTTAGTGGCTTCTGTAAGTTAGTTAATCGTACGATAGAGTTAATGGACTGTCATCGTGACAAACGAGGAAATTGACTGTGGACAACGCCGCGGAAGACCTCAATTTGGAACAGCCTGGAACTCGGCCACTGCTGGTCGCCTATGCTTGCCAAGGCCCCACGCATTCACACCTCACTGTAAACTACTCGCCATCCACTATTACTCACACTCACGGCCTGCCCAAGCCTTGGTGCGAAGTTAGCTTCGGATAATGGTAAGTACTACGTGTTTCTAGCTTTCTCCCTTATTGTTTATTGTAATTAGGAAATTCCACGTGACCATATTCTGGCCCCGTCCCTCTGCTGCTCGTCGATGGGATTACTCATGGGCCCTAATCCCGTCATCCTTGGTTGGGGCAGCTAGGGGCGTGTACAACTACATCTATATTCATATTCATACAAATCAAAAAGCCTATATATGATATAATGTAAAACTAATCACAATAGGTACCTATGTAGGTATGATTAGATAAAAGGTACTTATCTAAATTTACCTACTTTTACTAAGTAAGTACTGATACCTACCCGGACGCCATTTTACAACCCAAAAACCCTTATAACTAAATTGACCATTTATTTATTAACTCAAAACGGGGCATGGGTTTATTTATACTCTAAAAACTATAACTTTTTACAATTCACTGTTCATTTTAAACTAAAACAATGTTCACTATAAAATTATATTCTGTATAGACGGTAATTATTAAATGCAACATATTTTTTTTAAATTACTAATTACATTTGTCAGTGGTACAAATTTGCTTTAATAAAGTTGGTGATGATTTTAAATAAGAATAAAATTCTGGGCAAGTCTTTTTTATTGTTACCTTTGTTGACAACATCGCCTTTAGAACTGGAACCGTAAGTGTTTTTTTCAGACGTCTACAATTTATTCAAAATTGAAAAATACTCTTTCTACTGGAGCATTTGTACCAGGAACATAAAATATATTCGATTAAAAAATAATGTTGAAGATTGTTGGTGCGAAAGACTTTGAATACTTCCATCCAACGAGTTACGGGACAATTTTATGTCCCGGAGATTTGTTTGGGGACAATGGGACAGGTGATCGAGAAAAGGCACAGTCCCGTTCTAAACGGGACGTATGGTCACTTTACTTATAACCCTTATACTTCTTGTTGATTTTTGTATTACCTTTATTATAATCAAATTATATCATTTCCATCCAGTAATTTCGAAGATATAAGCAATAACATTTCAAAATTATTTGTTAACCGTCTTGAACCCTAACCTTTTTTTTTTTTTTTTACATGGGGAAATGCCTACGCATACCTGCCTCGCGGGGGCAAGGACGGGTTATGTCGGACTCGCACCGACTAAAACCCCATGGTGTTCCACCCTCGTCGCATATTGGCAGGGCCACGGGAACGCTTTCGCACACTTCCGCGGCCCCACCTGCGCCGGCCACCCCATGGCGGCCCCTCCTCGGGAGAGGACCACTCCTCCCCCATCTCCTTCTCCGGTAAGGCGCACCAGAACACATGGCGCGCCCTCCTCCTCGGCCTCCAATTTGATACGCGCAACAGACGCCCCCGCGTCCGACGCGCGAAGGCCATGGGGCCAGGAAAAACCAGCACTAAGATGCACCAGCCTTCCCGACCCCAGCGGCGGATCTGGTCTATGGCTCCGCCGCCAACCAAGATTCGGCTGCGGAGGGTAGGGAGAGCGGCGCCTCGCAATACCGACACTCCTCTCCCCCCGCAGCCCCACCACCACCGCATCATTCAACGGTGCGGCCCCGTCTGAGTCGCGGAGGATAGGGCGAGTGGCGCATCGCCATACCAACACTCCTCTTCCTCCGCGACTCCACCTCGGCTGCAGCGGTAGAGGGTTGCGGACTCCCCTCTCACCACAGCCCCCCGACACACATCCGAAGTGGGCTTCCCAAGCCCACTCGGAGTGGCCACCTCGGGCCGGCCCTACACCTCGGGCCAGCCAAGGGGTTCCTCTTCGTTCACCGTGGTTGACCAAGCCACGGCTACTAAGCCCCCCCGCCACGACAAGGCGGGAACCCGTTCGGGGGGGTTGAACCCTAACCTACGACAACCCGCGCGACGCCCGCTGCTCCACTGAGTCATCGCTACCGGCCAGCGCTGTGTGCGCGGCATTGCAATATCTAAGTTCTGCGGACTGCATTACGATGGCAAGTCGGACGGCACCGTGCGCGGGCTGCCGCACTGAGGTGAGCGGAAACGGTCCATATATGAAATGTGCAAAATGTAAGCAGATTTTTGATATTATTTGTGCAAACATTACTACTGATGTGCTTAAAAATATGTCGGTGGAATTAAAGATGTCTTGGATATGTGGAGAATGTCGTTGTAGGCAACCAAAACGAGATAATTCTCATACTCAAGTGCGGCCACACGTTATGCAGGATCTAAATACCACCTCTACTGCTTCGTGCCTTGACGTATCCATGCAGACTTCTGATAACGTGACTGTACGAGCTAAGCCGCGACACGCCCAAACTACTATGGGAAGCACAGGCGAAAGTATTACAGGAAACGATTTAAAAGATTCTGTCGTGCGTGAATTAAAAAACCTGCAAATTGAATTCGAAGCACAGCTAATGAGCAAAATTAATACACTGCTTATTGAACAATTTTTGGCGTTCAAAACTGAATTCATAGATAGTGTTAATTTGATAACGAACAAGGTTTTACAATTAGAGGAATACTACTTATCGAGCATTAATAAGGCCTGCGAACTAACGCCAATATCCAAAATCTTGAAAACTAGCGGTACTCAAACCAGTCCAACCCTTGAAAATATACCCACTACACAAAATAAGCCTCCGAAGCGGAAACCTCAACCTCAACCTCAACCAAATATCGAACATCTCGGAACTGATAAGGATCAGTCTGCGTTTACTGTCCCCAGAACAAATAAAGTCTCATCTGTGGCTCCAGTTCTCAGTGCTCAAAAGATGATGCACGCAGAATATTCCGAGTCTTCCGTCTCTCTACATAATAGCCAGGACTGCGAGCGGATTGATGACAACTGGCAAGAACTATCACGCAAACGGGCACGCCCCTCACTTCCCGGGTTGCTTCGAGGTACCGCCGCGCCTGGTTCTACGATGTTGCATGCTGCTGAAAGGTGAAGATACCTGCACCTATACTACGTACGAGAAGGCACCACAGTAGAGCAAGTACAAGAACATCTTAACTCAATATGTGGGAACGACGATTGCATGGTTGAAAACTGAAACCACGTGGACATTATGCGTCATTCAAACTCGAAGTTCCATTGAAGCAGGCCGGAAATATAATGTCATCTGAAAACTGGGCTGAAGATATCTGTATTAAACCATGGCGGCAGAACTTTCGTGCCAAAGACAATAACAATCAAACGTCAACCGCGATTCCATGAAATGCAAATATGCTACCAAAATGTTCGTGACCTAAGAACAAAAACTAATATGTTTCTTAATAATGTTATGGAAAGTGAATATGATATGATAGTGTAACGAACCCCCCCCCCATCTTTTTTCTTTTCTACTATATATCCACTTATACTTGTATTTCTTTAGAATCTATATCTGTAAGATATATAAATATATCTAATTTACGTGACCAGTATAACTTGATCTTTCTAAAGGTTTAAATATAGGCCGTTTAATAAATTTATGGCGTTATGGTCTTAGTTAGGACCCTTTTTTACGTTGTGTTTGTATTGTAACTTAGTTCTTTTAGGTGTATCTTGGAAGAATGAATATTAACGAGAGCAATCAAAAGCTGTTGGTAGAGTCTTATAAGCTAAAGAACCCCGTTCACGAAGACAGATCTCAAAAAGGTTAAGAACAATAAATTTTCCCTATTCCACTTGTATCTGGTTCACAACAGTCAATTCCTTATTAATTAATCCCTTCCCGCTTGGAAAAGGCTCACAATATTTATATCAAATGCCAGTTACAAGGGCTTCGCTCTCCCACATTTAAAAAAAAAATGTGGAGGAGGTACACGACCCCACACACGCCGCGCACGGTGAGCGCCAACCATTTTAATGCGCTCCCCCCGTAGGGTACGCAAAGTTGGGAACTGGACCGTAGTCCACAGCAAAATAAATGGCGAACCAGTAAAAGAGGACTTGGTCCTGATAATATTAATAATTCGCCATCAGAAAGGGTTTGACTCACTGACGTTGAGTATATGCATTTTTCGATCATGTTTGTCTCACCCACCAACAAGTTGCCTTCAATCTCTCAAAGGTGGGAACTTTATAGATATATATTATTAAGTTGTTATATAAAACATCATGGAGGGCAGACAGTCTGCAGCCCCGCAATGAAGGGACCCGACTTGGGCAAAGCTACTTAGGTTGTGAGTCAAACCAAGACGCAGAGAGCGCCATTGAGAATAGCAACCCGCCAAACAACCATCGTAGAGACGAAATGCTACAGAATGCAACAAGCATCAATACGACTATCGTCGGGCTTACACCATCCCAAGGTCCCCCATACAGTCCCAGCAGACATCACCACCCGCATACCTCCATCGACCAGAACCACAAGATGCATCGAATCAGGTGCAGCACACCCGCAGATCCATCACAAGACACAATACTGCAAGTAGCAGTAAGCATCAATGCAACTATCATACGGATGGCGCCCCCTCACAACACACCCACATGATCCCTATCGACTTTGGTAACAAAATTTGATAATGTTGTTAACTAAAATTACCACCAACGTATCATAGTAGTACGGTACTAAGACGTCAGTAGCCAAAACTCCACGTATCATAGCGCTATTGCACTAAGACATGAAGTTGAGTATGCTTGCTGCACTTAAAAGTACTACCAAACACACTCACCTTAATCCGAAAGATAGCCGACGTATCATAACGCTATGCGCTAAGACGCCGCCCACAGCCGGTAGGGGTGTGCGATGTCCACGGGCAAGTCGTATTGCTACAACAAACCCGCTTACCACCGGCACTAAGATGATATGTCTAGGACACATCGGTTAGTGAGTCCAAGTTTACCTCGGTCTCAGAGGCTGCGAAGCAACCTACACGCCACTATAATAATCCTTTTCAAGTCCCATTTCTTTCAATATAATGCTTTTACATATTTGAGACCTTCCACATATTTACTTTATTTCATAGACCATACTTCTGTATGTCTTATTCATATGGGACTTCAAGTCATAACTCTGCTATCGTAATGCTTATACATCATAGAGACCTTCTATATTAATGCTTTGGTTCGTCAGACCTTACTATGTTAAGTCCCTAATATAGGACTAGTCATTGTGCAACCTTAGTACTAGCAGTCGGTCAGCCGACCACCCCATATATATGTACAACCTTGGGTATGTCTCCGACAACGCCCCAATATAAGGGAACATTACAAGAACACGTTCATCAACTTAGAAATTTTCCAATTATTACAAGAACACCTTCATCAACTTAGAAAATTTTAATCCATTTTTTCTATTATATTACAAATGTTATTTATCTTTGTTATTGCAATATAATCGCCTTGTATTTATATTATTTGATACATTTTAAACATTTTAAGTAGGTTTTTAATAAATTTAGAGATTTTTAGAGACATTTTATGCGTTTACTAATATATATAATATTCAATATTCCAAATGGATATTTTTGAACTCTATGCTTATTATTTGCATTTTATTGTTTAAATTATAATTTCTATGACATTTTTAAATGTCTGTATAATGAATTTAATTATTATTTATTAATAATAATTATGAGGCTTCACAATAGCATTAACTGAGACCTTTCTTACGAGTTCAGTGTCCAATGGTGAACTCTTTCCTCCGGGTTTTCATGTGGTAGACCTGGTGATTGTGGATGGGGAGGAGTTTTGCTCGCGATTCGTGATCGTTATAATGTTAAAATAGTTACGGATATTGTTAGTATGACTGATGACAAATAATTAATATTTTCAATTGTGACATTTAAAAATGTAAAAGTTTTATGTTGTGTCGTATATCTGCCACCATATTATAAGGATGAGCAATATTTGAATGTTTTGACATGTATAGAAAATGTGATTTGTACTTACCCTGACCTAAATGTTCTAATCCTAGGTGACTTTAATTTAAACTCTTGCAGTACCAATATAAAGACTTCTTTTGATTTTTTTTGTGAATTCTGCTCGCTTAAGCAATATAATACAGTCTTAAATAATCGTGGTTTCGTGGTGGTATGCTGGATCTGGTGCTGGGTAATTTTGAACTTAAACACATAGTGGTATCTCTCAGTGAAGATCCTCTGGTAAATATCGATCAGTACCATCCTATGCTCGATATAAATATTACATTTCCGGGCTTTTGGATAGCATCGAGCGTGTCATCTTTGCAGCAAGTGACACCTCGCTCGAATACCAATACAGATTGGAACTGGCGTAAGGCAGATTTTCAGGGTCTATATAGGACTTTGATTGAAATAGACTGGTCTGATTTGTTAACAATAAGCGATATTAACTGTGCTGTACAGCTGTTCTACGATAAGCTATACGAAATTATAAATCTGTTTGTGTCTATTAAAAAACAATTATCAAACAATCAGCGATACATATATCCAAACTGGTACATAAAAATATAAAAAACAAACACTTTCATCATAAGCAATTCAGAAAAGAGGGCAAAGAATTTAATAAGGCTATGTTTATATATTATAGAGAAAAAGTTAAGAAATTGATTGACTGTGAATACCGGAAATATATGACTGTACTACAAAAAAATATCATTGGCGATCCTGTGCAATTCTGGAAATATGTAAAGGAGAAGAAAAACAATAGAAGGTACATAGATACATATATTTATGAAAATACTTCAGTGACAGATCAAGCCGCAGCCGATGCCTTTGCCAAATATTTTGCGTCCGTTTTTCATGCAGAGAAACCCGTGCTAAACCCGGATACTGCTGCAAAAGCTGCATATGAACATATACATCGAGATGTGACCTCAGTTTCCATCACGACAGTTGATGAAAACGATCTGAAGAAGGCAGTGAGACGCCTTAAGCCACGATCGGCTGGTGGGCCGGATGGCATTCCTGTCTTCTTAGTTAAGGATTGTATATCAGTTCTTGGGCGGCCTCTTCTGTATTTGTATAATCTTTCATTGACCCAGTCAAGATATCCTGATAGCTGGAAGCTATCTCGAGTCACTCCTGTTCCTAAAGGAGACGGAGGCACAATTGTTACTTCTTTCAGACCTATAGCTGTCCTATCCGTTTTTGGTAAGATCTTTGAAGCAATTCTAAGTGATTCCATCAAATGCCAAATCGGTCAACAGCTGCATAATGGTCAACATGGGTTTCGTACAGCTCGCTCCACCGTCACCAACTTGGTTGCGCATGTAGACTATATCTGCTCACAAATGGATAAGCGAAGGCAAGTTGATGCGGCTTACTTTGACTTCCAGAAAGCCTTCGACCTTGTGGATAACGATGTACTATTGAAAAAGTTGGCGATTGTTGGATTCGAACCAAAGCTCCTCAATTTTTTTCTTGTTACCTTAATAATCGATGTCAATATGTGAGGCTCAGTGGATATAACTCTGGAGACTACTTTACTAGGTCAGGAGTGAGTCAAGGTAGTACGTTAGGACCTTTGCTATTCGTGATATTTATCAACGATTTGCCAGATGTTGTTTTGACTGCAGAGTGTCTCCTATTTGCGGATGACCTGAAACTAACTCTGGGTATTGAAACTGAGGCTGATGCCGTGAGATTACAAAGAGATATTGATGCTGTGTCTATATGGAGTCAAGAAAACCACCTTCCGTTCAATAATCTCAAATGAAAAATAATAACTTTCACGCGAAAATCACAGCCCATTATTTTTAATTATAAGTTGACCGACGCTCCTTTGGAAAGAGTTAAAGTGATTAGGGATTTAGGATTACTATTAGATTGCAAATTAGATTTTCACACGCACATCAACAAAATTTGTAAGTCAGCGCATAAAATGTTAGAGTTTGTCATAAGGACTGCGTCACAGTTTGATAATACACGGCTCGCAAAAGTATTATATAATGCTTATGTGCGCAGTAATCTTGAGTACGGTGCTGTTATCTGGAATCCTTACGAAGAGAAATACGTTCTAATGATTAAAAAATTTTAAAAA